GGCCCAGCCTTTGAGAGATGGGGCAGCTTCTACTCCTTGCTTCTAGGGAGACTTGCCCCGGAGACAACAGTCTGTGAGATGCCCTGGCCTTACGGAGAGGCCATGTGTAGGCACTGCTGAGTCAGCAGCCCTAGCTGAGCTCCCAATCAATAACCAGTATTTATTAACCTGCCATGTGAAAAAGCCATCTTGGATGTTCCAGCCCCATTGAGCTGTAGATGACCCAACCCCAACCAGCATCACATGGAGTAAGAGATCTGCCTGGCTGAGCTGAGAATCATGAAAGAGAATAGAATGGTGGTTGTTTATGTCAGGAAGTTTTGATGGACAGGAGTTCTTAATTGTGATGTATTCCAAATTTATCAGTGTTTTTCTTTAGGGTTAGTGCTTTTGTTGTCTTATTTAAGAAATTTTGCCTCTGAGAACATGAGTATTTTCCTGTTATATTCTAGATTATCTTTCACATTTTAATCTACATTATCTAAATGATTTTTTCATATGATATAATGTAAGGAAATCTTGACACTGATTTAACAATTATTGAATTTAATAATAATTCCTTTTGAATTTAATAATAATAGTTTTGAATTTAGAATTAAGTGTGTAGTATAAAGCACCAACATGATAGTAATTTAACATCACAAGTAAGTAAAAGAAACTTGAATCCTCCATGATTATATTACTATCTGCCCTCGTATCACTCCCTAAAGATCTCATGGCAATGGAAACTTATTTATTTATTCATTCATAAAACATTTATTGAGAAGCAGGTTTTACATTTATATGTGCCAGATTCTGAACTAGGTGCTGAAACACACAAATGAGATATAGGCCTCTCTTTATGTAATTACAATTTCACATGAGAAATGGGCAATAGTACATCGTTTAAATCGTGCTCAGTGATAAAAGAAAAGCAGAGATGCTATGAGAGTGGACACTAGAACTCCTAACTTAGTACAAAGGTTAAGGGCACATCAGAGAGATTCTTTGCAGAAGTGATGTTTAAGCTGAGACTCATGGGATGAGTATTAATTATCTAGACAAGGAATTGAAAGGAGAAAAATTCCAGGCAGAAGAGCACACAGCATGTGCAGAGAAACTCTGGGCAGGGAGGAACCCAGTGTGCTGCAGGAACTACGAGGCGTCTCCGTGGCTCCTGGGAGGAGAGATGGCAAGGGGGGCACAGGCTGAGACTGGGAGGCAGGAAGGAGCTAGGCTTGTAAGTCTTCTTACAGGAATCCAGGCATTACCCCAAGAGCAATGGTATGCTTTTAAGGTATTTGAATCAGGGGAGTGGCATGGTCAGATTTGTGTTTTTTGAAGATCACTAAAGTTGCCTTGTTGATCACAAGGCAGAACATGAGCAGTGCCTGACACAGGCTTCAAGATGGCATGGTCGTCCCAAGGATGGAGAAATCCCATTGTCTGGGGCATCAGGAAGGCCTTCATGGAGGAAGTACCGTTGCACAACAGATTCATTAAAACAAAGGAAAATAAGGTGTGTGTGTGTGTGTGTGTACTGGAAGTCAGAGAAGGAAGGACCCAGGTGTAGGGTGCAGCCTGCACTCAGTCACAAAGCTAGGTAAGTGTAGGACATGTTTGGAGAATGGTGAACTCTCCAGTTTGGCAGAAGATAATGGCAGATAAGCCTGGAAGGATAGGTTGTGGATATGAAGAGCCCAGGAGGCACATATGGATACATATAGGTATAGCCAACCTTCATAATATGTGGATTCTGTATTTGCAAATTCACTTACTTGCTAACATTAATTTGTAACCCCAGACCAATACTTGTAGCACTTTCACAGTCATTCACAGAGCTATGCAGAGTGGTGAAAATTTTGAGTCACTGGGTGTGCACATCCCAGCTGAAGTTAAGCATGACTCTCTGCCTTGTTACGTCAGCTCTCACGTTATACTCAAGTGTCCTTTTTGAGGTCTCTTTAGTGGTATATTTTTTTTTCATTTTTGAACATTTTCTCTGTGATTTCACTGTTTAAATTAGTCCCAAAGGATAGTGCTGAAGTACTCCCTAGTGCTCCTAAGCACAAGAAGGCTGGGATGTGCCTTATGGAGAAAATTCATGTGTTAGATAAGCTTTTGTTCAGATGTGAATTATAGTGCTATTGGCCATTAATTCAGTGTTAACAAATCGACAGTTTTTGTTAAAAATATAATGTGTGTTGTGTGTGTGTGTGTGTGTGTGTGTGTGTGTATACTATAGTCTTTAAACAAACATACAAAACAAGGTTACGAATTGATCAGTTGATGAAAATGTGCCCAGAAGCTTATAGGAACCTAACCCTGTATTTCCCCTGGGAGCAATGATTCAATATTAGCAATTTCAGTGTTTGTGGCTACTTTAACAGAACTACTGCGAATAACAAGAACTGAATTTATCTTTGCACACACTCCTCAACCCCAAGAACCCATTGTTAAACATTACCAACACACCATTGACTGAGCCAGACCCGGCAGGAGCTCTCAGCGCTGTGGACCCAGCTAACCACACACTGCTGACCGCTGAGCAGTACTTTCTTGAAACAGGATCTGAGTGACTCATATCCATGTCAGCTGCAATTTCCAGGCCCTGACTTAGAGAGGGTTTAGTCTTTGGAATCAGGAAGACCCAAATTTGAATCCCACCTCCCCAGTTTACTGGCTGTATCTTCAGGCAAGCGATGCTGTGCCTCATTATCCTTGACAGGAAAGTAATAGCCACTTCACAGTTTTATTTTGAGTCCTAATGAGATCATGCTTGCTCCACATAGTGCCTGGTACACATATGATAGACTGTGAATGTTTGTCAATCCTCCCACACCCTGCTCCAAACTCCAACAAAAGATGGGGTGAGGAGGTATTCTGTCCTCTGCCTGCTGCTCAGTCCTTCAGAACTTAAGGCGACAGCTGCATTGTGCCCAGTCATTCTAAATCAGCTATTGAGATTCACACTGTCTGAAAGGCAAGAATGCGTCTTGCAGTGCAGATGCCCAGACCTGAGATTCTTAGACCTGCTGCCTGCAAGGACCCACTTTCCGATCTAACTTTTCCAGTCTAACCTTGTTGCTTTCCTGTGACGACAGACCAAATGAGCAATACTCTAACTGGTGTCTCTGTGCCTGTGGCTTCTGGTTTTTTCTGGGAGACAGGGGGTGGGGGTATTTGCGTAGTTCATTTCTCGATAACCTAATTTGGGATCCAGAACCCCTGGCTGCCCCGGTTTGGACCTTGCTTCCTCTGACTCAGCTTTACCCTCACTCAGCTTCATCTCTGAGTCATCAGGCTGAGCTTTCGAGGACAGCTGTCTGGCACACTCCTGCTCCATCTTCCCAGGAAAGGTGCTATGTTTCCACACCCCAGTGCCAGACCCATGCCTAATTTGGCTCACAATCCCAAAACCAAGAAACAGATTTTTAATGACATCAGAGGATGCAGAGGGAAGAGCCTCCAGGACAAGAATCAGAATGCTTGGGTTTCCGTTACAGCTCCGTTAGCTTGTACAGTCGTGAGCTGGTCAGGGAACCCTCTTAAGCTAGGGTTTCCTTTTCCATAAAATGGAAATAGTAATCCATGCTGGGCGCATCCCACAGGGGCACTGGAAGGCTCAAATCAAACAATGTGAAATATCCCAGACTCAAGGGCAGAAACCGCTACTCCATGGGCCGGATCTGATCCATAAACTCATTTTGTTTGGTTTGAATAATGTTGACATATAGATATCAATTGTTTGGCCTATTTTAAATGAGTTATCAACAGTGAGTTAAAGGAGACTTCACTTAAATGTCTGGATTTGCAGCCTCTTCTAAAAAAATGGTATGATATGGCCATAGTAACTCCCTGCTCTGAAAGGCAAAACTTGACTAGTGCTGTGTAGCAGCAGCCCTTCCCCTTGGTCAGGAGCCTGGAGCTGCCTTCAAACTCACCACAGTCCCCACTACTCCCTACTATTTCCCAGTACTGAGGTCAAGCCTCTGTTGCCATTTGTTATTCCTCTAGGGGCATCGATTTGCTTCCAGCAGAGCCCTAGTGAAGCAAAATCACTATAATCATGTTTCCATCAAACTGGGAAAATGAGAATCCCAGAAATGTCCTTTGCCCCAAATATCTACCCCTTCAGGGTGTCAGTGTCAAAAGTGAAACTTCTTTGGTTAAGTTTTATAGGAGCGAACGGGAGGCCTTTGGGAGGTGTCTATGGCGGGTCAGAGCTGGGATCTGGAGTCCCACAGCCTCCACTACACTTGACCCTGCCCCGGTCTGTTCCTCCTCATCTGTAAAATGAGGTAGCACCACCTCTTTTCTCCTGGGTTTATTGTGCAGAACGCATGGCACTTGCATGCTGGTCATTCAACTCTGTGACTGAAATGCAAATATTTTGAACAGAGAAAGCATTCTGGAAGATGGGAATGTGAAATGAGAGACTTAGGATTCCTGAGTGGGCCTAAGGGAAGGACAAAAGCAAATGGAAAAAGAAATGACTTAGAAGAGAGAAGAAAAGTTCGGTTACATCCACCCCTCGCTCTGCCTTCCTCCCCTGCAATGAGAAGATCCCACTGGCTGTGGACGGCCCTCACTGCCCTTGGAATCCAGCACCACGACTGAGTCCTAGCCCTGGCCTGGCCAAGTCACTACTCGGTGTGATGTGGGGTCCCCCCAGCTCTAAGATGAGGACAGAAATGCCCCAACGGTCAGTACTGTAGTAGTAACGATGAAGGGAGACACACGTATGTGAAAGCGCTTTGGAAATCGGAAAAGCACTCCGCGCAGATAGGAGTTTTCGGCTCTCTTTTCAAAAACTTTTTCTTCCAGATTCTGTCCAAGAGCATTTTGAGTTTCTCAAGGCTTAGACCCTCCCCTTGATTTCGCAACGCTGCCCCTTCCCACACACCAAAGCCCGCGCGCCGCGTCAGGAGTCTTTTTTTTTTTCCCCCAGCGAAGGCGGGGACTCGGCAGCGCTGGCAGCCGGCGACGGCGGGCGAAGCTTCGGCCGGCCGCGCCCGGCCAGTCCCGCAGCGGCCGCGGTGGGTGCGCCCCGCGGTGAGCGCCCCGGGCCCCAGGCCGAGCTGCCGGCGAGACGGCGCCCGAGGGGTGCGCGCCCCGGCCGACCCGCGAGCGCCAGCCCGGGACTGTGCGCCCCGAAGCCGGGCGGTGCGCCGGCCTCCCGCCGCTCGCCAAGGTAAGGCTCTCTGCGACCCCGGTCCGCGCGGCGCGACCCGGTCTCGGCCCCGCGCCCGGCCGCCCTCCTCTGCCTGGCCGCCCGCCTCGCCCCCTCCCCGCGCCGCGTCCCCGCGCTGCCTCTCCCCTCAGGCAGAGGCTGCGGCAGCCTGGGCAGACCTGGCGCCCTCGTTTGGGGTCCGCGACAGCGTGCGGAGGGGGGCTGCCCACAGCGGGCGCCGCTCCCCTTCCGCCCGGACCGCCTGCCCAAGGCCCCGTGTGGGGAGGGGGCAGGCCGCGGTGTCCTTGCGGCTCGGCCGGTGCAGCCCTCGCCCAGCGCTTCGGAGCCGGGCGCTGCGGTCCAGGATGCAGCTTGCGGGACTAGGGCGTCCTGCCGCCGCCTCCAAGGACTACCTGGAACCGAGCTCTTAGCCTCCCTTCTTTCGACAAAGACGGCCCCCAGTCCCCATCCTGGTACCTCTCGCCCTCTGGCTGAACTTTCCAGCGCTCCCGTTGGGCCTCGACCTTGGGTGGAGTTTGTGGGGTGCCTCTCAGAGGCCAACTTGCCTCCAAGGGCGCTTTTGCTGAGCGCGCCACTTGGTGAGATTCCCTCCCTCATCTGCCCCTTAAGGTCACACCTTTGAACCCAAATACATTGTCCCTGTAGAGTGGCCAGTTGCTTAACATGGGAGTTGAAAAGTCAAACCCCATGCCCTCAACACCAGGTCTGAATCTGCGCTTTTTGTGGGCATCTTCCAGGGCTGCAGGAACAAGCTTTTAGTTCCTAAGCGTCCTAGGGTACAGGCCGGGGGGGCCAGTAGGAGACGTTTTCCATGAGAAGGAGATGGAGAGCCCCCTCTCTCCCAGGATGGCCACCTGACGCCTGCGCAAAGTCTCATTGATGAAGTAGGGTCTAGTGCACAGAGACCAGGCTCAGGCCTGCAGCGAAAGCATCTTGAAGTAAACACAATTCCCAAGGACCTACTTACCTACCTGGGTAAACCAAATGCAGCTCTTTAGAGCCTTTCAAAACATGACCACAGGAGAACCCACAGTTACACGTGGACTAGAAGCAGAGGAGTCCACTCTGATCCTGCCTTTTCAAGTCCAACTCCCTGCCCGTGTCCAAAACGCATCCTCATTGGACCATTATGTGAGTTTTAGGGAATGTTAAAGTTCAGAGAGAATGGGGAGTGGCTTGGGGTTCACACCAGACTTCCATTCAGTCAACAAATACTTGCTGTGTGCCAGGCACTGGCCAAGGTGGTGGGTACAGAAACGAACAAAACTGGCGCTGTCTGGCTTCATGGAGCTTGCAGTCCAGTGGCCAAGACTGACATGCATCAAATCACTCAAAGAAATATAGGGTTACAAACAGTGCTGAATTCTTTGAAAGGAAAGGATAATGAGAATCTGTGATAGGTACAGTAGTTGCTCAGGCTGAAGGCCGATAGGAGTTAACTATTTGAAGAGGGTGGACAGAGCCTTCTAGGCAGAAAGAACAGGATGTGAAGAGCCGAGTCCTTTAGAGGGACTGAAAGACTTTGCCAAGTGACGACCAGGAGCCCAAATGGGCAATACCTCTTCTTCTGCATTCCATTGCTGGGGCCCACCAGTACCTTCCTTCTTCAGCTGTAGTAATCGGCAGTCAGAGCCCCCTGGCTGGGACAAAGAGGGAGAGACTGACAGGCAAGTGCTGGACTCGCCCCCATGCAGGCACTTCCTACCCGTGCCTCGGTCAGACAGCCCATGCCCATTCCGGGTGCCAAGAGGAAGCAAGGCCTTCCTCTGCTTGTTCCCTATTGTCCACTGTGCTCACTGACCAAGACCTCTGCCCAGCACTTAGGAAGAGTCCCACTGGGAGTGGTGGCTCATCCTAGACTTAAAACTTTCTTTGCCTATAATGTAAAATTCCTTAGGGTGGCTTACATGGCATTTCCTAATCTAGATCCTGCCTGCCTTTCTACCGCATTTCTGGCTTCTACCACTCCCCCGTCTCCCCCGAGCACACCCCTCAGTAAGCACCCTCCATGTTCTACTCACAATTACACTTCAAGCAGTTCCTGGAACACACATTGCCTTTGCACATGCTGCCCTTTATCTAAAGTACTCTTCCAACTTGTTCACCAGTGAATGCGGGCTCAGCTTTTCACTTCAGCATTTAACTTAAGGTCCCCCTCCTTCCCAAAGGCCTTTCCTAACTAGAGTCAAATGCTGCCTTTTCTTTGTTTCCAAAGCCCCTTGGATGTGCTTCTGTCACAGCAAACACAATGTCTTCACTGAGCATGATAAAGCAGGACTCTCCTGTCATATTTGGGTCTCAGTTCCTAGCACAGAGAAAGCCACATAGAAGGTACTCAATAAATGTTTACTGGATGAAAACCATCCAGTCTATTATTTCTAAACTATTTTTTATGGGGGAGGCAAGCCTTATATGTATCTTCTAGATTCTAATGAAAATTATGGATAGCTCCTGGATATCTAACATAACATATCTTGCATACGATATCATGTGATTCACAGCCATCCCCTCCCCCGCTGGCCCCATTTCCAGAGCTTTGGACTTTAATTTTGCAGGAAACAGAGGCTCAGCAAAGTGCAGTGACTGCCTAAGCACCCACAGCTGGTTAAGAGCATTGCACCCCCAACCCTCCCAGCTCCTGATGCCTAATCCAGGGCTCCTTCCAGCTCCCTCTGCTTCTCTTAGCCAAGCAGCCTCCTTTCATCCCTGCTCCTTGTGAAGGCCACCGCTCATGGCTGGGAGATGGATATCTTGGTTTTGCTTCAGTTCAGTAGCAGCCTAAGGTGTGACAGGGAGAAAAATCTTATTATGAGTAGAATTGACAATTAGGAAGATAGATGGGCTGCCCCTTGCCTGCAGCGTTATTACATCTGTTTTAGCTGGAGGAAGGTTATGTGTGCTTCACAGTTTTCTTCTGGGTCCAGGATTGAGCCATGTGGACCCGGTTTGGAAACACTCCAGACATGATCATTGAGATCAGGGGCTCAGCCCTTGGTCCTGTCAAAAGGTTCTTCCCCATAGAATAGGCTACATGGGAATGAATGAAGAGAATGGAGTTCTTATTGCTGCCACTGGCAATCTTGTCTGCCTGCCTTCTGCTTTCTGCAACAAGACACCTACTTCAGGCTTCTGGGCCAAGCAGGACCTTCTTATCTTCAGATCAGGCTTTTCGTTCACTCAGTAATTCACTCATTCGTCAAAACTGTATTGAGTCTCTGCTTTGTACCAGGCACAATGCTGATTCCAGTTTGTAAGGGAGGGTCATGTGTAAGTCAGTGACACACACATGGTTCTGCTCTGCGGTGGGGAAGGAAAAAGTAGCCTTTATTTCAAATTCAACCCATACCTTGGGAGGTGTGGTAGGGGGTCAGTTAGGCCTTCTTAAAGCTGAGAATATACTCATTTTTAAAACTCTGATCTCATTCAAGTTATGTCATCTCTGTGAGGGACTCAGTTTTCTTAACTGTATAGTGGGTTTGACAACAGTCTTTTCTTGCTTATCTCTGGGCAGTTGTGCAGATACAATTATCACATTTTAGATGACAGAGTCACCCACTTCTGCAGGTGAAGCAAGAGCAGTACTATATAGTAACAGGGATCATGTGTGGCAGGCCTGGCACATGGAATCCTTGCAATAATCCTAGAGATAGTTACATTCATAACCCCAGATGTAGAGATGAGGCAAATGAGACTTGGAGAGGCTCAGTGACTTGCCCAGAGCTAATGGAACTGATAAATGATGGACTGGGATTGACAGAGCTCTGTCTTTGGAGGTCAGATGCCTAACCACTTTGTGCTACTCTGTAGTAGAGTATCTGGGAAAAGGTGCAAGGTGACTGGGAATTGGAGCCTAGATCTGTTGCTAACCAGCTGTGTGATTTACAGCTAGACCCCTAACCTATCTGTGCCTCAGAATGCTAATCTCCCAGACCCAGAGTTTACTCTAACGAGGCTTCTAATAGGCCTTTCTATGAACAGTTTCCAGACTCCATGAAAAATATTTCAAAGTAGGATTCAAGGAAAGAAGAGGGGCCCCCTGCTAAAAATAGGTCTGTCTGTTTCCAGGATAAAATAAATGCTGCCCCAAGATTTCAAGTAGATGGTTAATGTGATATGCAGGCAGTTATAGATTGGTGGTGTCTGAAGAAGCTGGCTGAATGTTCTTTCTCCAAGAGAAAAAAGTCTGTTTTCAAAAGGACCACCTCACTGTTGCTTCAGGGCCCTGAGCCCGGGCTCTGCCCCTCAGATAGCTTTCCAGGGATGCAGGCATCGTGGGAGGAAACATAAATCCCAATTCCCATCCCTTTCCCCATTATTTTTCCCCCTAAGTAAATAAGATGTACTGGCTGGGTATATGCTTTTTAATGGGGCTGTGGCTTTCCCCCCTCTGCTGGAAGGATCCTTTATATCTCCTTTGGTATGTATTTCTAGTTTGTTGCTCTGATGTCAAGTGATAAGGGGGCAGAGAAATATGACATTGGGGAGAATTTGCTCCATGCAAAGATAAAAGAACAGCCCTCGGTGCCAATTTCCCTCCACAGCCTGATTTCTGCCCAGAAACCAGAGACGCCAGCTCTCAGTGAAATCAATTTTGGTTTTTGTAGCAGGGCACCAAGCAGCAGCGCTGAGCGTTTCCAGGTGCTGTGCTCCTCGGCTGCTCCTTACCATGTTGCTCTCTTCTGTCTTGGAAAATGTAGCCACTCCACTCCCGGGGAAAGGTTTAAAAGACCAAGAATGTCAAGTTGGGTAGTGACTGAATATGTGGTCAGGGTCTACATTTATTAGGGAGGCATTTCATCATCAATGTTCGAGTTTTTTAAGAGATTTTGTTCATGTATCATTTGTGTGATTTTAAATAAATATTGCAGCCATCACCTCTCTGCTCCTCAAGTACAGAAGGGTAAGAAAGGGAAAATGGCTTCCCCATTACGTAGCCCTGTGAGCCAGAGCAGATGATTCAAGTTTACTGAATTACAGCTTCCTCATCTGTAAAATGCTGT